GGGTAAGTGATGAAATGTAAATAGAACTGATATGTAAAAGAGATTGTTAGAAAGGTAAAATTAAAATTGTATAAAACACTTACAAATGGAAGAGAGACGATCGAAGCATGTCAGTGTCAAGTAACGGGTCGAACGATTGTGTACAAATGTGTATGAGGTAATGATACATATAGCATGGCATGATTGGGTGAGAAAAATATTTGTTTGCCAATGAAAAGACGTTAAATAGTGAATTATTAGTTGTTAAGTTTTTCCAGTAGCGGGATATATGTTTCGCCGAGCAGTAGCGTGTCTGTTTGGAGGTTGATGCCGTTTTTCTGTTCGCTAATGTGTAGCATCTCCGATATTAAACGTCTAGTATAGAACGGTTCTTGATCTAATATTTTGACATTATCAAAATCAAATGCATGATTGTTCTGTATAATGTGCTCATGTACTATACAGATGGATTGTTGAGGTTGATTTTTCTATGTTCTTTCATGCGCGTTGATAATTGTCTGCCTGTCTGACCTGTATAAGTTGCATTGCAATTCAGGCATTTGATCTGATAGACAACATCAGATTTGGATGCGTAAGAAACCACATCTTTGTGTACCTTAATCAAATTGTTCATCTTATTGAAACCATAGAAGCTGATCGTTTTATCTATGTTTAAGGTTAACGGTTTGAATCTATTAGATATATCAGGCACATATGGGATGGACAAGAACGACTTTTCATTAGAATTGCTAGTCTGAGTGATGTCATTATGGTTGTTGGAGTATGTGTCAATGAGATAATTAATTCTAGAAGTCAAAGTTTTGAAAATGAAGTCTATGGGGTATCCATTAGAAAGTAACAGTAAAATTGCTATGTTCAGATTGTCTGTATGGAACGAAGGGTGGGAAAGTTTAAATACTCCATCGATTAAAGAGATTGCAACCGCTCTTTTTTGGGAGATTGGGTGGTTAGAGAAAAAATTGAGGTATCTACCAGAAAAGGTAGGTTTGTGAAACCAGTTGGATATTAGTTTGTCATTTTTTAAAATCAAGGTGTCTAGAAAATTAATTTGGTTGTC